GTGACATCAGTTTCCCTGGAATCCTGCAGTTTTCCTTGGTCAGAAGGCAGAGATTAATCATGAGGGCAGAGGGAAGAGGAAAGTTGAAACTGATATCAAAAGTTGGAGACAGAGAACCATAAAAACAGAACTTGATAAGCATAATATCCTGGAGCCATTCACTTTAGAAGGATATAGATCTACACATGTAGTAGCCCCCAAGGGCATTATAGTACCACAGATGGCCTAAATTATTGGTTGAATTTAATTTAACAAACCAATAGTGCTCATGAGTTTCTTAAACATGACGAAAAAGTTAAATGAGATTCAGAGTACTCTGTTTAGGAATCTGGGAAGCGATTTTATCATTTTAGAAAGATTTTAATCAATAGTAACTAAAATTAAAATGTTTTCATTAAGGATAAACTTCTAGAAGATTTACACAAAGAGACTCTTTTGTTATCCAAAGTAGGATAAATAGGCATTGTTTTGCAGAACAGTGCTGATCAACAAATATGGTGAATGTTTAAATTAAAACAAATTTTACAGTAAAAGATACATTGTCATTAACCCCCCTCAAAATCCTCCCCCTTGCTTCGAACACATTTATCCCATTGTTCTTACCACTTTCTGAAGCATTCTGGAAGTCCTCTTTCATGAGTGTCTTTAGTTGCACTGTCGTGGCTGCCTCAATGTCCTGAATTGATTCAAAATGTTTACCTTTCATTGTCATTTTGACTTTGGGGAAGAGCCAGAAATTTCACAGTACCAGATCCAGTGAATAAGGTGAATGAGGACACACTGTAACGTTTTTATTTGACAGAAATCGCCATACCACAAGTGATGTGTGACATGGAACCTTTCTGTTGTGATCACAAACTACAGTGAATGCTGCTGCCGAGTGCAAGCCAGCAGAAAGGCAGGGATCTTCAATATAGGAAGCAGTGCGTCGAACGTTAGTAATAGTGTGTGGCTAGTTTCAGCTTGTTTGGTCTAGTCAGTCGGGTGTGAGCTATGGTTGACAGATGTGTTTTAAAGCGTGCCATCAATCATCCTCCATCATGACAACACTAGGTGTCACACATGGCTTCTGGTAGACGGCAATTTCTGTCAAATGAAAACATTACAGTGTGTTCTCATCCACCTTATTCACCAGATTGGCACCGTGTGACTTCTGGCTCTTCCCCAAAGTCAAAATGATTCAGGACATTGAGGCAGCCACACAGCACAACTAAAGACACTCACAAAAGAGGACTTCCAGAACTGCTTCAGAAAGTGGCAAGAATGATGGGGTAAGTGTGTTTGAAGTGAGGGGGAGTATTTTGAGGGGGATTAATGGCAATGTGTCTTTTATTGTAATAAATTTTTAATATTTAAACATTCACCGTATTGTTTGATTGCACCTTGTATATATGGTAAAAACTAAATAACTATTTTAAGAATAGAATTCAGTATATACAGGGCAAATCAGACTCTGAGCCTAAGCCATGGAAGGTGGAACATTCTCCTGTAGCCTTTCAAAAATGCAGCTAATTCCACTGTCGGAGGACACTGATAATCCCTACCTATATTTTTCTATAAAATGTTGACAATCACGACAAGTCCACGTTTAGTTACTAAAGCAATTGAGCAAGTTATTGACCTTGAATGCACCCAAATAGGAAATTGAGATGTAAAACCACTTCTTTAAAAGTTAAATAAAAGGTTGATAATTTTTTTTTAACCTATAATAATGACACATTTCCTTCTACCTTATCTATTATTTTAGGCCCTCAAGATTTGAAAACTACCAGGTAGTGATAAATACTGTAAAGAATCTGCAGTGAACCCACAATCTTCTACATCATTAATAGGATTGCTCAGACAGCTTATCTGCTTAAGTTTATTCTCTTTATCCTTTACCTGCGGGAATGCTAATCACTTGAAAAGGACAAGGCTGAGGGGACTTGTTTTAAAGCTGGGTTTAAATTTTTTTTTCTTTTTATCAAATTCTGTTGTTCTAGTTTCCTGAGTTCCTTGTGCCCTTATTCCAACGACTTGCCTTTCAGGTATTTAAAATGACACTTTGCATTCACTTGAACATAGGTGAGTTGCTTGCCATTTTCTGGTGAGATAAGCATTTCTTAAGGCTTTTTCTATTCACTCTTTGGCTGGATTTCACCAGGCTCAGGAAACAAAGAACTAACTGGTATGGGCATTGGGAAGCCTTGGCTCCGGGTTTCCCTCTGTGATTTGTTAAGAGTCCTTTGGTTACCAGGCTCAGAAATGATTGGCAACTTGAAGCAAAAGTAACTTATTGGAAGGGTAGCAAAGGCCCACAGAATCTGTGGACGGCTGAAAATCAGGTTTGAACATGGGCAGGTGCCATGGCCTTTCCAGAGGCTGAGAAGCAGGAACCCTTGCGGTGGGATTAGAGTGGTGAGAAGGTCATTGCTGCAATAATAGGGAACATCAAATTCCAGGGAGGCTGGCCTAGCCTTTGCTATAGATATGAGTGAGGCCCCAAATTACAGTCCACTGGGCTCCATTCAGTAATTCCTTAAGAAGAATTCACAAGGCAGTTTGAAAAAAGAAATTGCACGCTGGACATATAACTTTGTTCACCACTGTGTTACTACTCGGCATCTTTAAAGTTGCTTCCGGCTTTAAAAATGGACAATGCTTCTCCTAAGAAAGCCTTTGGGGTTACCACATCCCAGGATGTTTGCATCTATGAATGCCTATAAAACCAACAATAAGACAAACCGGAAGAAGACAGTTAGGCGCACTAGTGGGTTATCAGTTTTTCCACTGGTGGTAACTCTATCACTGTATTAGAGTGGTTGTGTTAGTTCTCTATCACTGTGTAACAACAGTATTACCACAGACTGAGCATCTTAAAACAACCCAAATTTATTACCTCACAGTTCCTGTGAGTCAGGAATCTGAGGAAAGCTTAGCTGGGTTCTCTGCTTAGGGTCTCATCAGGCTGTAATCATGGCATCAGTTAGGGTTATGATCTCATCTGAGGTCCTACTGAAGAAAGACCCATTTGCAAGCTCACTCAGGTTGGCAGAATTCAGTTCCTTGCAACTCGTAAGTAGCACTGAGGATTTCAGCTTCTTGCTGGTTTTTGGCTGCAGGCTTCCCTCAGCCCCAAGAGGCTGCCCACATGTGGTTCCTTGCTGTGTTGGGTTCCCCAACATGGCCAGTTGGGTTCCTCAAAGGCGGTAAGGGAGGGACTCCAGCAAGAGGCACGTGATTGTGTACATCCCACCACCTCTACTGCATCCTATTGGTTAGAAGGGATTCATAGGCCCCACCCACACTCAAGGGGAGGGGGTCACACAAACGCATGAACACCAGGAGGTGGGGGCTATGGGGCAAACCTACAAATCTCTGAGTGGCAGAACTGAGTGGCACAATCCCGAGTTGCCTTGAAGTCTTAGCATACCTCATTCTTTCTGTGCATCTGATTTCCCCAAACCTTGGTCCTGGGGAGGTACTTCTTTTGTGTGCAGAAAAAATGACCTGGGCAGAGCAAAACCTTGACCTCCAGTCTGTCTAGCCAAGCTATAGGGGAGAGGGAAAGGATGTAAAGAGCTTCACCTCCTCAGAAGTGACTACTATGACTGTATGTCTGGTCAGTGTTTCTCTCGTAGTTGTCTGTTAACTGAATCTGGTAGCCTCCACTGGACTGTATCTTTTGTCTATATTTACCATTTGGTAAATTTTTGTTTCTATTGCATGGAAATTCTTTCATTTATGTGCTTGGTTCTACCAGAGCTACTAGGCACGCATCTGGAGTAGATGGGTAATGGATAAAGACAGCCAATAAACATGGGTTGAGTTCTATCAGTGTGATTCTGGACTGAGTGCTTTAACTTCTGAGAGCCTCCGTGACCTCATTGTCCTAACTCATTGAGATGATGCCTTTAAAATGGATAGCACAATGCCTGGCGTATAGTAAACATGTAGGAAATAGATCTGATGATGATCCTTTAAGACCCTGACCAGGGAGGGCACATGTCAATGCTCAAGGTGCGATTCATCCCATAGCGAGGTGGGGGTGTCAAGGAGATGCATGTTGAATGCATTGTAGCTTGTACCTTCTCTTGGAGCTCATGGAGGTTTAGTGTAGTTTCTTGAGAGTGGAGGAAATTAGAATCCTTACGGCTGCTTTCCCACCCCTGGAGCTGGGCCATTCAGAAAGTGTGTAAAGGGGACTGTAGCTGATAGCAGGAGGCCTGGGGTCGATGCTAGCGGCGTCAGTGCAGGGCAGGGAGCAGCACCCCAGCTCCTCCTTTCATTCTAATCTCCCAGGGAGCGATGGATCGCCTGTGGGACTTAGCTGGGTGACCTTGGTCAAGCTACAGCATCTCCAAAGCCATTTTCACGTCTGTAAAAGTGGAGCCACATGGAAGATCAAAAGGGGGGCAGGATGTAGGAACATTCTGTGAACTTGGAATATCTAAGGGGACCCAGGACAGTATTCTTATCAAGAATTTGCCCCGAAGTTAGATACTTTTCAGTTTCTCTTAACAGTGCCTTAACTGGTCAAATGAAAATGTTAAATACATTTTAGAAAAGTTTTAATTTCAACAGCTTATGATTAAAAATACATTTTATAAATAATTTCTCCATAGACTTGATTGAAGATTATTGCGAACTTTACAAAAAGACATACTGCAAAGACAGATTAAAATTACAAAAAATATAGCTATAGCCCTGCTATTTAAAAATACAACATTGTACATCACAGCATTTTCTTTGTGCAAAGTTTAAGAGAATGCTGTGTTAGGCACATCACACATTCAGTCAAAGGGATGTAAACTTTAATACAGTTGGTTGGCATAATAGTGTAGGCACAGTGAAATAATTCTTCTCCCTGGAAATTCTTAGTTCAGCATTTTACTTTTATTTTTTAGGACTGATGGCTAAATTTCGCTTAATACAAATATATATGTGTATATATACATATATATATATATATATATATGTATATACACACAAGTGTGTTTTGAAATTAAGTAAATCTCCAACATATTTACAGTACTTTAAGAGAATGCATTTTCCAAACCACTTTGAATATATCTTCTGTCAGTTAATGGACATCCTCCGTTGAGACTTCCAGTTTTCGCTGTGGGACAAAGAGAGTTCCTATGGCGGTTTTATTAGCACCATCGAAATCCGCGCAGGATGAGCCCATCAACTTCATTGGTCCTCCGGGGGTACGGAAGAAACTTTCGGCCACTAATTGTGACCCTTTGGGTGTCACAGGAACAGGCTGATTGAAAAGAGATGAATGGAAAAAAGAAGTCAGACCCACAGAGAGGTACGCTGTAGCAGCCTTGGAAGACTGGACTGGAAGAACGTGTCACATGTGGGAACAGAGCACACTTTGAAATTGGCTAGGTAAGCCTGGATGAGTTTTACATTCTAGCTATTTGTGTTAAGGCAAGACAAAACAGCTCATAACCCAATAATATGGACTAATTGGGTCCTCTTTCTGGGATTGGAAGGCAGACAAGCCTTCAATGTCCTCACTCTCCTTTCCCTCTCCAAAGGAGAAATGCAAAAGCAAGTCTCCCATGAGACTGATATTTGGGACTTAATAACCCAAGGAAAAAAATAAATGAAATGGAAATAGTCTCACCTCCTGTGCCCCCATCACAGCAACAGATTGTCCATTCGGTTGGCTCTGGCCCAGAACTGGAGAATCATACCTCCCAGCCCTTCCTTGCGGAGGGCCTGCCTTTTCTGGGACGACACTAACAGCTTCTATTCTTGGAGACACAGGAAGAGTTCCGGGGCTGGGGCTGGCAGACACCTGCACACTGGGGGAGATGAGTCCCAAATGCTGCAGGGTGACGTTTACAATGGCTGAGCTTGGGTTCTGGACGGGAATGGGATGGCTCGCAGTGAGAGCCGGGCTGTTCCCTACAGGTATGGCTGCCATGGAAGTTGGTGAGACCATTAGCTTCAAAGGTGTTACATGAAAAGAGGGAAAATTAACAGCAGTGAGTTCAGATGATGTCACTGGAATAACACCTGGAAAGAAAAGGGGGGAGGGAGAATATCTTAAAAGCACAGGCATTTGTCTGAGAAGCTTACAAGGCTTAAGTGAACTTGAGAAACTGACCCACATTTGAGTAACGTTTTACATACACTCACCTGTGATTGGGGAGCTGTAGATCCTGTGGTTCGGGGAAAGGGAACCTGAGTTTTCTTTACTAGGCAAAATGGACTCTGCCCCCAGGGATGAGCACTGGGTGAGAGGGATTAGGTATCCTGATGGGAACAAAGCCTAGAAAACAAGAAGGGTTTATTTTACATACAAACACTGGAAGAAAAATGGCCATGTGCCTCTCCCAGGATTAATATCCCTTAGTGGTTGTTCGTCTCATCAGACCAAAGCCTCCAAACAGTACAGGCTCCAGGCAGGCCAGCTATATGGCTTCCTGAAGACCATATCCTCCTTCCCATCCCAACACTTGTCCCGAGTAATACAAACCATGTGTTTCTTAAATGCCCTCTGTGGTATTAGGAAGTGTCCTAAAGCTAGCACTGAGCCTGCTTAGAGTAGGATTCGCTCACACTGACATCCTAAGTCCTGCTATTAGACTCCATGGTGCTGTCAAAACCAAGTTTAATGCAGTTGGACACTATAATGGTTATGTCATTACCTGATTGTTCTTAAATTATATAGAACACTATTTCCCAAAGACTGCTCTGAGACCCTAGTTCCATGGGGTGCGAGCAGTCATTGCTTGAGTCGTGCTCAGGTATGTTTGGGAAATGCTGAATTCAACAAAGAAAAATGGTGTTTTTATTAGGGAATTTGAGGGACTTTGTTTAATAATGGCATGCATTCACTGTAACTCTCCAAGGGAGCATCCAGTATGTGGCATTTCCCAGGCTGTCTGGCAACAAAATTTTTGGTAGTATCGGTATTCAAGGAAAATATTTTCAGAAATGCTAATTTAATAGAAAGGGGCTGGCAAACCATGGACCAAAATCCAACCTCCTGGCTGTTTTAGTAAATAAAATTGCATTGGAACACAGCCATGCCCATTCATTTATGTATTGTCTACAGCAGTTTCCAATTTTATTTTTTTTTTAAACAATGGCAGCATGGAATAGGTGCAACAGAGACCATATGGCCCACAAGGCCAAAAATATTTACTATCTGGTCCTTTATAGAGAAACATTTACTGACCTTTGATTTGGAACAAAGGAATTATACAACTGCAGATTTCTGTCTAATATGTTAGGTTCTAATAATACCAAGCAAACACGCTTATAATGTACAAACTAAAGGGCACAGCACCAGAATTCAAAAACCACAGATAACAAAAAGAACTGATTAACTCATGTGAGAGACCCCACGGTCATGGAACGAAAGCTTTAGGCAATGAAGTTCTATTCCAAATGGAAACGGCCAGGATGTTGAGCTGTGTGTATCTCCCCCATGCCTGCTAGATCGCGGTACTTGACCAAACAGAGAAAGCCTAACACAGAAAGCCAGGAGCGGCTGAACTGCCTGAAGTCTGCTTCAGCTTACCACGAGCAGGACTGGCAAAAGCTAAAAGCAGCTCTTGTAAACCGGGGGCCTTCCTTTTATCTTCCTCCAGACCTTTCCTCTAGACATTGTCATAACAACCATTTAGACTTCGATCTATTAATAGCTGTTAATAGGTCCTGTCTTTATCTTGGGAAATAGTGAGCTCAGCATCCACAATGCTCAAAGTATAGCTCAAACTTTAAATTTTGTTTCTTAGATGCTCGCTATGGTTCAGCATCTTTACTGGTTAGTTCCCTGAAAGCAGCAGGAATAGCAACTTTTAACGTGTGGATTCAGGCATTTTACAAATAGTTCTTCTTTGCTACTGTTAATCATGTTCCCTTTTGGTACAAGTTATTCTGCTTGCTGGTTTAATTCTTTCAAATCTTCAGCAAAACCTATAGCACTCTAATAATTACTTTTCAATTTTGTGCAAACTATATTCATCACAAAATCTTTTAACCTATAATGCCAATTCCTTTTTTGAAAAAAAAAAAAAAAAAGGACTCTTAAAATTAGCGCGATGAATGCATTTGACATATTTCAACTTGCAATGTCATCTCATCTAGCCTGCATTCGCCCTCTTACCCCCTCTTCATATTATCCCACCCCATTCTGTTGTCACGATAGTTCTTATTATTCACTAACTGATATGTTTGTGTTCTTTGGATAGCGTCTTCGCTCCACTCCCAGAAGTGTAGGTTCTCAAGAAATGTTTGCTGAATGAATTAATACACGAATTAACACATTTTCTTTGTTCTGCTCAGTCCACGCCAAAAAGAAATGGTCAACACGTAGTCATAGAGGTGAAAAAAGCAGCAGGGGAACATGGAAAATCTATCTACCAAAAACCCTAATCCTGATTAACCAAGTGAGGAACAGGAAACCATTCTTAAATTACCCCATTGGCCCAAAGAGTTTATGGACCGCCCAGAAAATTGAATCAGGCTAAAGCCTTATGCTTTTCCCCCTAGCATGGACATTAAATGCAAAAATGATACTATGCCACCTAAAGGGAAAACTTGACGAACTCTAAAGCCTCCTCAATAACAACAGTTCCAATTAATATCCTTTAGCTTTACACGGTGCCTTAAAAGAAGGACAAGCCCCTTTATGTATATCATCATGTAACAAATTCACTTAGCCTCACAAAAACTGTACTGTGGCTTGGGGCAAATTCTCAAAAGCAACTGTCACCAAAGGCAAGTGCTGGGTTTGATTTGACCCGGAGCACCTGCTTTACACCCAGATGATCGGGAAAAACTGGTGGAACAAATTCTTTATAGATGTGGGAAAATAGGACGTAGAGAAGTAAAATAACTTGAGTTAACAGCAGGAACAACAGGAGGGATTTAGCTTCTGCTAAATGTGGATTTAGAGGTGGTCATTCGGTGATCATGTCTTTCACATATAATTGTCCTAAGGGAGAAAAATGAGATAATGGGTGTAAAAGTGCCTAATCCTTCTGACATCTGGTGTGTGGGTAGGCATCCAATAAATGTTAATTGCTTCCTGAACTAAACTCCACCTAGGAAAAAAATGACCTAGAACACTAAAATCCCTAGAAACCAATGTGTCTAATATACCTACAGCTTGCCAAGGTAAGTTTGATTTTTCTATTTACACAAAATAGAAATCTTGGTTTAAATTTTAGGTAGAAAGTAAAAACGGGGAACAATTTATCTTCTAGGCAACAGATGCCAGTTATATGATATCAAACAAACGTTCAGTAATGACTCAGAAAGCAGGAGTCACCAGAACCCTAAGCATCCATCCATTCACTTTGGGCTCATCTGCTTGCGTATTTAAGACTTTCATGACAGGTGTTTGCATTCCAGTATGTGGTAGAGAAATGGACGTAAGGACAACCACCCGTGGTGCTTTAAAAAGAGAGCAAATAATCCCTTCCTCTAAAGGTTAAAAATGTCCCTGCTGTCTTCGAGGCCAGGGGATTAGCTATCTGGGGCCTGGTTTGGATTATGGGATGTGAAGGAACTGTTTCTTGTCTTCTGAGACACTGCTCTTTGCTCTGGTAAATTTCACAAGCCACCAAATCCTCCTCTAATCAACTGGGGAGTTGCTAAAGCTTTGCACAGGGCAAGGCTGTACTTACTGCAGAGACATTTTCAAGTCCTTTCAGGTCTTCTTTCAATTTCTTTTTGGAGCCGCTATCCTCCAGCAAGCTTGCCCTCTTGGAGCCTCTTTCTCCAGCAGATTCCCTGTCTCCGTTCTGTGCCCCTTGTACCTCTGGCACCAGGCTTCCAGCCCTGGTGGAGACACTGGGCTTTGTGGCATCATTGGCTGCCTTCTCGGTGGTGACATCTGTGGAGTCTTTTGATCTTGTAGCTTTAGAAGAGGGGGTGGGGCAGACTGTTGGGCTCAGGCCTCGGGACGGTGTCATGGTTTGGGCTTGGGCAGGCTGCAAATAGATGGCATAGGATGGGCCCGAAGGGGGCTGAGGTAGAATCATGGGCACCGATGACAGTGGGCTGGAGATCAGGGGGACCACCCCCAGGGGCTGGATGAGGGACCGCGCAGGTGCCGTCAGCTCCAGCTCAGCATTCACTGGGGTGCCCAGGGGGGCCAATGGTGTGCAGTGCCCAGATCTTGCCAGCTGTACTTTCGTTTTTTCTCTGGGTTCACTAAAAGACAAGATTTGAAACACGACACGTTTTCCAAAATGTTCTAAAATAAACATATTTTCTCTAAAATGTTCTACCACTTTAGATTGTCCCAGAGTGAAGCCATACTTTTATGAAACTAGCAGACAGTGTCTGTAATGATTGCATGAGTTACAGGAAAGATTATCTCACCAGTTTCCATGGCTAATACCTATTCTGACATAAAATAAATAATCCTAACGATGCAACTTAAAAGTAATTCAGCCTGCTACTAAAGAGCACTGTCAACCTACCTTGATTGCTCTTCTAACTGCATTTTGCAAATAGCTGCGAGCTGAGCCATTTTACTTGGGAAGGGTTCAGAATTCTGAGAATTCTCAGCTGGTAAAATAGAAAGAAGGGGTAGAGGTTGGTCAAATCGAAAGAAATGCTCCTTTAGATGACATATCTCTGAAGTCTAAGAAGAGAGAACATGCACCTCCCCCCAAAATTACACAACAATTAAAAGAAAAACCCCACAAACGACTTTCATCCTTTAATTCATACATAAGTTAGGCTTCAAGTGGGGTTAGGTATATGGACATGGACATAATTCTCTAACAAGTCCCATGGGGATCAAGTAAGCTTTCAAAAAAATCAGATAAAAAGGAGTTCTTCCAAGCGGAGCCCTGACATGACTGAAAACACACCTTTGTTGGTCTTGATGGGGCTACTGGGAGCAGAATTTATCTTTCTCCGATCACTTTCTATGCTCTTTACCAGTTTGATGAGAGATGGGTGTCGAGTAAAGTTTGGTTTCCCACGTGTGGAAAAGAGGTTTTTGGCACAGTTCTCTTTTGAAGACTGCCTCACTTCCAGGTCTGAGGGGGAGAAAGGATTGATGGGACTGAGACCTGAAAGAGAAAAGGGCAGTGCATTCAAACACAAGTGGTTTGTCTTCCTTTTGGGATATGAAGTCAAAGTGTAGTTCTGAAATGATTTTAGGAATTACAGTGGCAACAGTTATAGAGCACGGACTATGGGCCAGGTACTGTTTTAAGGGCTTCGTATATACATAACCTGGTTTACCCTATTAAATGAATTCTGAGACAAGATTTCACACTTGAGCATTTCTAAAACCCATTGTAACTTATAACCAGTGGTGTGTTATAGCGTAATTGTCAGTGGTTTCTTTCCTTATTGATATATAAAAAATTGTGCATCTTATTATCAGTGGAGCCTTAATTTGATGGAATATGGTGACCCTCATTGCTATGGACTGAATATTTGTGTTACCCCTGTCCCCCAAATTCCTATGTTGGAACCTAATGCCCAACATGTTATGCTAACAGGAGGTGAGGCCTTTGGGAGGTGCTTAGGTCATGAGGGCGGAGGCTTGTTGAACAGGATTAGGGCTCTTATAAAAGACCCCGCAGAGCTCCCCACTCCTCTTGCTGTCTAGAAAGCAGGTGCTCAGCAGACCCTGAATCTGCAGCTGCCTTGATCTTGGACTTCCCAGCCTCCCAAACTGAGAAACAAATTTCTGTTGTATATAAGCCACTCAGTCTATGGCTTTCTTTTATTTATTTATTTATTTATTTATTTTTTATTTATTTTTTTAGCTGAGCCATCCCGCCACCTGTTGGCAGCTCATGGCTGCTCAGCTCAGGCTGACTCGAACCGCTGTTGCTCAGAGCTCAAACTCTTGAGCGAGCTCTTAACCAACTGAGCCACTCAGCGGGCCCCTCTATGGCTTTCTTTTACAGCCTGAACACACTAAGACGATCTCAGCAGCTCCACCGGATAGGTACTTCTCAGGAAGTGGATCCCCATTTCAGAGACCTCAACCAGCTGACTCATTTGGCTGGTAGAATGTGGGCCTGGGATACGAAGGTCATCAGTCTGGGTCCAGAGCCTGTGCTTTTCAAATCCCTTCCCAAAGGAACTCCCTCTCAGATTACATCCCAAATCACAGTAATCTCACCAAGGCACCGTGGTTCTTCCCATTTTGTAGGTAAGGAAACTTAGCCTTGGAAAAGTAACTTGCCCGAGGCCACACAGGTAGTAAATGGCAGAGGTAGGACAGGAACTTAGACTCCCTCTGCCTCCATGCCCATGTTCTTGCCACTTTCCAGCACTTCTATGTGGGACTCGCTGGTGGAATGCAAAATGTGAGAATCCTAGAGTTGAGACGGAGGCTAGAATATTGATACCAGAATGAATCATTTCACATTCTGAATGTGCTATGGTCACTGAGAAGCATAATAACTACAGCAATAGTATCTTGTGTTTTGCGACGCTTTCAACTTTTTCAAATCCTTTCACATACAGGTTCTACCTCCTGGGCACTGTGCGTTATGCACCTCGTGGTTGCTGATGGAGCCAGTAACCAAATTTTTCATAGTGGCACTCATCTTTGTCTTTTCAACCACTTATACATGTTCTTTCCATGTGGGAGTGTGGGTAGGAAGGGGAAGGGAGAATATCTCCACATGTGAGTTAATTCAAAACAACGAAGCAAAGATTTTTAAAAAACAAATACATACCACTGGAATTTGGACTGATTTCTGGGCCTGTCCATTTAAAAGCTGGTTTTCTGCCTCTTTCCTCGGTAACATGAACTTTCTTGATAAGAGCCAGGCTACTCAGAACATTAGCTATATCGTACAACCGCCTAATTTTTGCTGGGGAACAAAAAAGCATACACACTACTTAATGGAATAATGAAAGATCAAAGGACTTTACTGCACAAGGATTTCATGTATATTCAAAGAGCTATCCTAACCGTCAATGTCAGATAGAGAAAAATATGACTCTTTTAAAATTATTCTAGTGATACTGCTTTAATTAAAACAAAACATAGGCTTAAATATTGAAAAGACTCAGCTTCTGTTGCTGTTGAATTTTGAAATGACAAAAGCACAAGTTGAAGGGAAAAAAAAAAGCACAAGGAAAAATGACTTAATGAGATCACCCTATCAGAAACTATGTGACAGATTTTTTGATAAAAAGTCATCATTGCTGGTCATCTTCTAATGAGGATTCAGAAGAATTTTATGAACAAAAGGAAACAAAGCATCAATGATAAATGTATTGCTTTCCTGCTTGTGATAGTTTATATCATCAATGATTGATTTAATATCATAAGCATGGAAAAGTCCATAGCCCATCAAAATCTGTAAATTGTTATATTGTCCTTATGTAATGTGCAAAACATAGATTTATTAATTCTGTAGACCTTACATATCTTAAGGATTTTTTTTTTTTTTAGAGAAAGTCTGCTTTTACTTCTAACTTCATAGTATAAAATTACAAATCAAGCCCCTTCTTCATAGCCATGCTAGAAGGTTCTGAGTTCCCTGGGGATTCAGCAAATTACACATCTGCAGCTCCTGGAATAGTTTCCACGGCTGTGACTAACCAGGGAAATGGAGAGCTGAAAACTGTGTCTGGTGTCTTCTCAAAGCAAGGCAGCAGCCCATCAGCAGGCTCAGGATGTGTTCTCTGAAATTGCACATCTCCCAAGCCAATTGCCAGGCTTATTGCCTTTCTCTCTACTTAATTTTGTCTCGATAGATACACTATCAACCTGGGGATGTCTGCATTTACTTTGTGGGACTAATACAGCTTTTCAGGGATGGGAAGGAGTCTGTGTGACAGCTCTCACATTCCCACAGCCTCTGCTGTTGCTTGAGGGAGCTCTTCCTCACCATACAGCTGGGTCCCGAAAAGTGTCTCGTGTTCAGGCTAGACTTCATTCCGTACTGGGAGGTTTGCGCATGCCCCCAGGAAAGACGCCCCATCTGCTGAGCATGTCCTTTCCACACCCTCTCTACTCCTGGAGGTTCTTGCAAAGTCTGTTGCGGTGCCGAGGGCAGACCTCTGCTTCAGGAACACAATCTATTATCCCGTTCCAACTTTGAGCAAATATTCTGGCTAAAACCATTCTTTCAAAATAGCAAGACAACTGGGCTGCCAGTCACTTCTGGGGACAATTTTAGAAGAGTTATTTGTACTCCCACATATGAGAGAGAGTGGAAAGAGCGGAAACCTGGGTTCCAGTCACTGTACAAATAACTGCTCATTTAGACTTCAGGCAACTATAGATTGCATAGGAATAAAATGGGGAGAACGTCACAGTATCAAGTGAGGTAACTTTTAAGGAACTGTTTACGGTAACCCAAAGTGTCAGACAAATGAAAGGAGTTATATACATATCTTTGAATCCTACACGTTAACTAAAGCAGCTTGACTTCTGGGGAGAAGATACAAAAGCCCAATTTGAGATTTGTTTATATAGCAAAGGAAATCAGTCTGTAACTGAGACTTTATTAAGAATAGTTCCAAAAGTCCATGACAGTCATGACACTTACTTTTAAACTTGCTTTTATCCAAATCTTCCACATGGTCCTCCCCAATTAATATCTTGGCAGCAATTTCTAGGCTTACTATCTGAGGCGTTGACACCAAAAACAGCATCACAAATTTCTGGCTCATCACTCTTAAAGACTTGTCTTTGCGGCTGTTTACAGAAGCTTTGAAGAAGGATGAGGATTAGAGAATTAAAATTCATGAAGGGACAAGTGACTTCTAAAGTAACCAGGCTAAAAATACCACCACCTGGTCAGAGAGTTAACAACTGCAGCGTTTTAATGTTAAACAGCAATAGCTTTAGAGCAGCGTTCCTAAGGAAACTTCTCTTTATTAATATTTTTTTTTAATATGCAAGCAGGGTTTATTAGTGATACATTTTTGGGGAAGAGAACAGGCTTAGCCAAGGTGGGAAAGGGAGAGAGAGGGAGGGAGGGAGGGAGAGAGAAAGAGAGCGAAGAGTGCTTGGGGGTGGCGGGGATAGAACGCATGGGTGAGAGAGCTGGTGCAAAAAAGCAGGAACCTTTTCTTTAGACCTGAGCTTTTCAACACCATCTCTCACCTGCCCGAAATTCCACTCCAGGGAGTTCGACAAAACACATGTCTGGGTGTCCATTTTGGCCAGTGTTTGCTTTGATGATATGATCCTCTATACCGTAGCTCTTACTAAAGTCAAACTCTTGTTCATATTCTTTCTTTTTGATCATCATAATCTGCTCGGCGTACTTGTTCTCCTCCCCGACGCTTTTCAAGGTCCCAAGTGTTTTTTTGAGGTTATGTCGCCCATGCCAAGTGTACCTGTTTTTGGCGAGGCGGCTCACCATGTGTAAACTCTCTAGGACATTCACAATATCATAAATGCGCCGACGCTCGACATCTACAAAGAATGAGCAATTATGCATTAATAGGATTGGATTTTATAATGTCAAAAAATTGAATCATTTTTTCTTCCATGGTTTATTAGTCACTAGGTTCTGGGTAACCTTATTAATGCTCAACGAACACTGTGAAGATGAGAAAGACATGTACCTGCTCTCAAAGGGTACAGACAGTTAATATGAATCAGAGAGGTGACATTTATTGAGGGTCTACTACATGCCATACAGCTTTAGGAAATTTCTACTCTAAACGTGTGAGGTAGGTGTTATTATCTACACTTTAATGATAAGGCAGTGGAGGCTCAGACTGGCTAAGTAGCTCATCCCAAGGCACAGAGCCAGGAAGTGGCAAAACCAAGTCTTTAATCCTCTAAATCCCACACTTCACAACTTGTGTATTTTTCTCTCTCACACACACACGGCTGTCATATGATAGGGACAAGGTACTGAGATTTCTTGCCATTCCTGGAACCTGCCAGATACGTGCTTTTCCTGAAGTCTCTTGTGCTGGGCTGTTCATCCTGCCTGGAATCCCTCCCCCAGATGTCCTCAGGCACCCTCTCTGGATTCTTTCAAGTCCTTGCTCAGATGTCACCTCAATGAGGCCTGACCTCACTTAATTTAAAATTGCAAAGCACTCCTGATCCCCATTTACTATGGTCTACATTTCTTTCTCCACAGTATGTATTATCTTCTAGCGTACATTATAATTACTTACTTATTATATCCTCTGCATATTATCTACTGCCCCCACTAGAATGTAGATTCCATGGGAGCAGGAGTTTTGTCCTTTTTGTTCACTGATTTTTATCACAAGCTGCTACAACATTACCAGGCACATAGAATCAAGATACCTGCTGAATTATATATAGGGTAACTCTACATAGCTACAATGAAGTGTATGTGGACAGGTGAATCTAAATGGCATATTCTTAAAATGTGAAATAAAGCTGACTTCTACAAACATGCATTAGAAGGGCAAAACTTTCTTCATGGGATAATAGCTATATATTAAAATATCCTGCATATCTTTTCACAGGTTCAGATTATAATATGTTCATGACTCCAAAGGTACCCCAAATTTCCCACACACCCCTTTTAGGCTATAACTAAATTCGAGTCTATGAAGAAAGGAGTAAAAGGGGGCCGGGGGACACAGTAATTTTGCCAAACACCCAGAAAACGTAGTGGTCCTCAGAATAGTGCTGAGTGGCAGGGAGCACGAAAGCCCTGCTCCCCCCCCCCCCCCCCCAAGAAGCTGATCCTTATCATAAACTATGAAGATAACATCTTGTAGCCTGGCTCTTCCAGGAGAGAGCCAAGAGAGAAGTTCAAAGGTGTAGCAGTTTTGAAACAAGTCATAAAACAATGGTAGCTTCCTCTAAAGCTTCAGAGCTTTTGAAATGCAGTCAGAAGCAGTCTCCACTGTGATTTTTTGCTTCTGCATTAAGACTCACCGAAATTGGAAAATACATGCCTTTCTTCTTAAATTAATAGGGCTTAAGACATTTGTAATTCCCTGTGGCCCTATTTGTGTCATTACAAACACTGGCTAGATGAGTGCGGGTTTGAAGGAGTTAAGTCCCCGAAGTCACTTTAACTAGGACCCATTTCAGTGAGCTTGCTGCATACTTACTAAGCTCCTCGGCCACTTCATCAAGACATATGTCATTATTCACGGCAGGGTTGGGGTAGTTAGGATATCGAGCTAAGAACTTATGGCACAACAACCCTAAACTTTTCTCTTTTCGACTTGGTTGGGATTTCTCATATTCGTCTCCAGATAAGTGTTCCTACAAAGGAAGAGGTAAATGTGTTATTCTACAATAAAGTTTGACAGTTTATTAGGGGCATCTGTGCTCGATAACTAACACTGACATATGTGCTTCACTTCAATAGCTGTGAAGTTTTTGGGGGAAAAAAATGTGGGGAGCCAGTATAAACTGCTTGGCAGATCTGAAAGGGAAGCTTCAACTGAAAAGATAGGTTCAGAATTCCGAGTGCGATATCTGATGGGGTCCACACCTTTCTGGGGCGCTGAGGGAGGTTAATAACAGTCTGAGGGTGGCGATGCTTTATATTGCTGGCATTTCTGCAACAGTCAACCCCCCCTCCCCCAAACCTCCCAGTCTCCACCCAGTCCTCTGCAAACCTACATGTAAACAATCTTTGGGCACAGCTAATTCATTTCTGTTGTCAAACAGCCCCCTTTTCTGATCTCTGTAGCGGATCTCGGGGCTCATGGCACTGATGAGCATTTTCAGGTTGGCTGTTGGTGTCCATGGTTCTCCCTGGGAGATTTCCTTGGGCTTGGTTGGTGTGGTTAAGGGGCCAAAGTCGGGCTGGATCTCCGTCAATACTATATTTGCTGCGGTGGATTCTTTCAGAGGGGTTTTCATCAGTCCCCTTTTATGTGGCTCAAAAAAGAGATTTTCCTGGTTTAAAAGAAGTAAATAATTAAACTCGCTGTAAAACAGGATTTATCACATAGCTTTTGGCTCTAGAAATTATACAATACGTAGAATATTACTAAGGAAAAGAATGCCTCATGAGGCTGCAGAGTAGATTAAATTAGTACCGTATTTGCCGGCATATAAGACTGGGCGTATAAGACGACCCCCTAACATTTCCACTCAAAATACAGAGTTTGTTATATACTCGCCGTATAAGACTACCCCCTCTTCCGCACACCTTCCACACACCAAATAAAAGGTAAAACAATATCAGATTTGATTTGGCCCACTGAAGTGCAAACAAGCGTATTGTATTTCGTGTCACCACATAACCATTTTGGCGATGTTGAGCCACCATGTCTGCTACATGTTTTTCGAGTTCTGGCCAGTGTGGGGTGCCTCTTCTCAATGCACACTTACCCCTTGGTATACTCTTTAATGCTTTCTCATTTGATTTCCAGTCCCGAACCATCTTTTCTGTTACTCCATATTGTCTTGCAGCAGCACAATTATTATTTTCCTTAGCAAAGTTTATAACTTTCAGTTTAAAATTTGCATTATACTTCTTTCTTTTGGCTGGTGCCATGATAGGGATGATAGGGGTTTGACTGGTCGACATTTTCTATGCTGTACTGTACAATGGTGCAGTATTGTGGTTGGCTGTTGGCTGTATACAAAGCCTGATTTGATTGGTCCCTGCTCCCTGTTTGCCCGCCCTGTCACTATAGCAGTCTGGTCCACCCTTGCATCAGCATCTCCCTGGGACCTCACTAGTGCGCAAGTGCGAGCACTTCAACATTCTAACAGGCACCATGATAGCGCAAAATCGCGAATCTTCAATGCATATGTAAAGAAATATACGGTAACCCGAATTTACCACACTCGCAAAATCGCACACAGCCGAGCATACACCCAGCAGCGCTGCTGATGCCTGAACGGTATGTGGAATGAAGTGGGCGGGCATCGGGAGGCCACTATGGCAGGGGGCAAGCACTATGGGCAGTCTATCTGAAGTGTACCTGGCGTATAAGACGACCCCCCACTTGGAGGCATATTTTTCAGGGCCAAAAAATCGTCTTATACGCCGGCAAATACGGTAACTATATTCCAATGGTCACTTGACACCTGTCTATTCTGAAAGCTAAATTTCCCATTTTTAATTTTGCAGTGAAGCACGGACTTAATTTTTTCACCTTCTGTTCCAAGGATTAAAGAAACTTTAAAACTTAAAATTTTTTTAAGTTTTTATGTTGAAATAATTTTAGATTTAGAGAAAAGTTGCAAAGATAGCATAGAGCATTCCCATATACCTTTCACTCAGCTTCCCCTACTAGGAGTGATAATTTTAAGTGATCCCAAACTCCTAGGAGTGACTTTTACTCATGACACTGTAATAAAGCCTCCAAGGCAGAAACCGTGCCCCATTCATCTGTGTATCCATCTAGTACAATGGCTGCATGCAGTTGGTACTCAATAAAACACCACTGATGCAGAAGAGTCAGAGAGCCAAGGAGGCGAGGGTGAGGACTAGCATATCGTCAGATCTTGTTGGCCAAATCCAGTAGGGGGCAAAATCCAGAGTGCCAAAGAGCAGGATTTCTGCCCAGAAAAGTCTGCCCTTTGAATATCTATCCCTTCGCTTTACATATGGAGAAGTAAAATTAATGGTTCAAAGTCACAAAGCTGCTTCCTGGTGGTGAGGGGACTGCCACTGAGACATAAAGGGTAAATGAACAGCAGTTCATAAATAAGGCTAACGGAGACCATGTTTCTTCTACTTTTAGACACTGGGGACTTCACACATCCTTCCTATCTACTTTAAAGAAAATGCTTGGAATGGCAATAAGTGAAAGAATAGAGAAAGCACTAATTCTTCAGTGACTTTAGAAACAAAGATGAATAGGACTATTTTATATGCTTGTGATTCCTGAGGATTTATCAAGTGCTTTTCCATTTGTACTTTCACTAAATTCTGTAGTCCTATTTATTCTGCAGAAGAGGACAGCCAGGCTGAGAGGTTGCACAGGACCTGAATCCAAATCTCCTAATCCAGCTATGGTGCTCTTACATAGAAGGTGCTCTTGAGGGATCCAAGGGGGGACCCTTCTGAGCATGTGTACCTGAGAGGTACTGACTCAAGCATGGGATTTTTCTAAAGGCTGCTGACCTTTGCCTCAGACCATCAAAGCAACAATTCTTTTATTTGACTGATATCTAAAACTTTTAGGAAACTTGCATATTTTTGAACCTGGCAATAGTTGGACACTAATCAAGACAGCCCCACTGATAATTCTTTTGTAATTTTACAAAATGTTTTTCTCTCAGAGTGTTTGTAGCCTCCATAGTTAAAGAAGCTGGTGATTTGGTAGAAAACTATGTTAAAAAGAAATCCAATCTCAAATCACGTCAAACACACTTTCTGAATTCCTTTTGTTCAAGAATTCTCAGAAATATCGTAATGCAGTTAACAAATTTTACTATTCTTAAAAATACCTTTTCTCTCTATCTCTTTGAGACTTCCAGCAAACCATTAAAAACTAGAAAGATTACTTTAACTCTGGGCAACTCTTTCCCTCTTCAAAAATTAAATTTCCCTCCCTTCTGGGTTTTTACAGAGGCTAAAAGGAGATGTGGCATTAATAAGATACAGATATTGAAAAAATATGGATTTAAATCTGGATGATAATGCATTTAAAATTACAAGGATGAATATTGACGTTAAAACGGTACCTTCTCGTTCTCCATCCTGTAAATTTCTCATACATTTAGAGTTTCTTTAAAAATGAAAAATCTGAAGTTTCTCCCAATATCCTGTTGGCTCAAGGAGTCCAATCAATTCTATTACAAAGTTTAATATCTTTAAAGAAAAAAGGAAATAAAAAAGTTAAAGAAAAATAAATGCAGGAGATCCGTTGAAAATTCCTTCATGGATGCCACAGTCTACTGAAACAAAGACTAACGAAAATTGACAAACTACATTTACATTTTATTCCCGACCAGAGATAACCCCACTGGGCGAAAAACTACATCAAACGCCAGTAAATTCCTTCAGCAAACCCATCCGCTGTCACGAGACTTCAAGCAACCCACGGAATTCCCAGTGACAGCCCTCTCTCACCTTTAGAGAAGGCAGGCCATTCTCCGGACCCCACCGAACGGACTGGATGCAGCAAGCACAAGCACCCACCTGTTCACAGACTGAACTCGCGAGCCCAGGTTCCGGCTGAACTGACACGACCCCAAGTATCTGGATAAAAGCCTGCATCTAGATGCCTGAATTTCTCCCCTGACACACGCGTGCATAGGCTCAGCGGTCAAGTTTTGGGAAATAGCTTGATAGGAAACTTCCAAATTCAGTCCTTAAGCTCCAACCGTATTCTAGGCACTTAAAGAACGCTTTAGGATTAAGACTTTTGTATACAGACTTCCCTAAAGATGCAAAGTGCTATGTACTCGTTATTCCGGTGGCCAGTTCACGGCCAGGATGTTGTACCTCGCGATGGAAGACTGCATTTGATCAGTAAGGCAACCAGGTACAGTCCTCCTGGCGCCACACGTTCGCTCCGCGCCCCGCGCACTTCCCCCTCCGGCTGGCTAATTACCCCTCCCCCCGGCCCCAGTCCGCTCGCTGCTCGCCGCCCGCCCTATAGTTCCCCGACAGCATCCTCAGCGTTTCCAGGGCAACAACTCCTGACCAATCAGAGAGCAGGCCGCGGGCCTGCGATTGGTTGGCGGCTCCAGACCTTCCGCCTTCGATTTAAAAATTTGGCGCGGAAAGCCGAACCGTGGCCGGCACCACCCCTTCGCTGCGCGGGGCTTGAGCGCGGGCAAACCCGCGCCCGGAACCGCGGCATCCCCGCCCCTCCCCCTCGCTCGCCCCCTCCCCTCTGCGTGGGAGCTCAGCTCCTCCCTCCGCGGCCCCCGGCGGAGCGAGAGGCGGGAAACGGCCGCCGCTGCCGCCGCCCTCCCGAGGCCTTTCCCGGTGCCCGCCGGCCAGGCGCCGCTTCCCTCTGCGTCCCGCTGACCTGTCAGTTCTCCTTAAGGTTGGAGCGGACGGAGGCTGAGCGGGGACTCCTCGGCACCTTTTCCCCGCTCTGGCTCCCGAGCCCACGAGTCGGGCCGTCAGTCGGTCCTTACGCCGCGCGGAGGTGGGTGCCAGAAGGAAACGCCGTGACCGGGACTGACGGGCCGGCGGGCGGGCAGAAGCAGTGTGACCGTCCAGGAGCAGTCAAGCTCCGATTTGAAATTAACCCGCTCCCGGCGCGAGCTGATCCCGCGGGCGGGGCGGGCCGCTCCCCTCCCCCACGCCCGCTCCTCCCGGCCCGGGACCTTGCGCGCCAATCCGAGTCTCCAGACGGGCCGGTGGCGAATCACCGTGCAGGCGCCGCCCTCCGGTCCCGCCTCCACGACGGTGTTGGGGTGGAAAAAGTTCAGCTACTAGTGTTTCCTTTTTTTTTTTTTTTTTTAATTTGCGAACACCTCCTCTCTCCAGGCTCAAAGTTGGGGAATGAAGGTTTGCCCTCCCGGGGCGCGCACGCGCTCTGCGATCCCCTGTCCAGCCCCAGATCCACTCACCTGACCTCCGGACCCCAGCCGGGACCATTCCACCTCCCATCCCTGGCATGCATTATTGTGCTGTCCACCATCTGCCCCATGGCTTCTAGAAACTGGTGTGTGGAGAGAGAGGATTGGCCAACTGGTGCCCAGACTCGGTGGGCGCGGGGTCTTGGCCGAGGCGTGAGAACTCAGGTGTGTGAGGAGAAAGATCAAGGTGGTGAACACGCCAAGCTTGTTCTCGGCGTCCGCCTTCCCGCTCCAGGTCTTCCACCCGCTCCTGCCTTCCCCCTCCCCGTCGTCTTCCCTCGCTTTCCCTCTTTTTCCTGTTTTCAAGTCTCGGCAGCTTCAGCGTAGACTATTGTAGAGTACTAGATTAACAGTGGGATTGGGAGACGCTGGAGTCCAACGATCTCGTTGTTTTCAGACGGGGAAACCGAGGCCCAGGGCCGCAGCGCTGCCTTCCTTGCCCGTGGCTGGATTGTTTGCGCCCTCGTTGGCTTGCTTCGCGATCCCCTGCCTTGAAGCACTTCCCCTTTTCTGGGGAGCTGTGTTGGAGTTGCGGGACCGCATATATTGCCCAACCGCACCAAGGTCAGGGCGCCCATCTATGGACTGTTTGGTTTGAGCGCTTCCTCCTTTTTTGTAATCTCGCGCCTTTAAACTACACCAAGCCCAGGGCTACGATCCCTCAGTCCCATCTCATACTTATGTGTCGGTGAATCACCCAGTGCTGACTTGCTGCCCGGGACATTTTTATATTCCCGGACGCGTGATAAGGGCGGGGATACCGTGATACTGAGGCTGCGATCGCCGTGCTGCAACGAGCTTGCAGCAGGGCCAGGGGTCCCGGTGCCAAGCAGTGTCTCTTTCTTGCTCGGAACGCGACCTCAGGACGCTCAGCGTCACCACTCCGAACGGTTAGCGCTGTGGTGGCTCTGTCCTCCCCTCGCCGCCGCCAGCCAGCCGTGCGCGGGCCACACCGGCTCCAGGCAAGTGTTGCTCAAGAAAGCACTTCCACCTGAAATCCGGTTCTTGGCGTGATGCTGTGCAGAAGCGAGCGGCTGCCCATGGCTCTCAGGTTTAAAATAAAGGGAGGGTCACTGGGCAGGGCTCCACCTCCGACGCACTGAGCAGCGGTTCTTACTGAGTGAGCCCCGGTACACCTTTTATGGAGCATCAACAATAGGTGGGCAGTTGGTGCTTCTGCTTTATGCACTACAAGTTCCCCCTCCTCCCTCCAGTGCTACTGTCAGCTCTGCCCCACCTACCTTAAGTTTTGGGTTTTTTTAAGATTTTTTTTTTTATTGGGGAATTAGGGGGATAGGAACAGTGCTGGGGAATTGGGGGAAGGGGAACAGACAAGTTGCTGTTGTTTTGTTCTTCAGTCTAGTTGTGGAGGACGCTGCTTCACTGGCCCAAGTTGGCACCATCATTGCGCTCTTCCCAGGAGAGGCAGATCAGTCACCGGCTTCTGGACGGCCGCTCACTGCGGCTGCTGGCCGCTCACGCTGGCTGCTGGCTACATACGGTAGCCCATGGCAACCCACTGCCACAGGGGCTGCAGCCTACGCCGTCGCCGGCGACTCCCGGCAGCCCAGCTCCAGGTTGAGCTGTTGTTCAGCATCTTAGCTGAAGAGGGCAGTGTCACTGGCCCTCATATGTGGGATCCGAACCGGGGCCCTCTGGCATCCCAAGCGAGTTCTTAACCATCGCGCCACTCGGCCGGCCCAACCTACCTTAAGTTTTACAGCCCCGAGTCCCCTGTCAAGGGACTCTTCAGAAGCAGCTGGTGTGTTCGGAGGTGGTGAGTAATGCGTTCGCATCTGTGGTCTACAGGGCCATTCATGTCCCGGGTGTCTGAGTGCCAGATACTTGCAGGGCAAATAATGTAAGGAGCAGCCATCTCTGGTGACACTGCACAGATGGCATCTCATTTAATACTCAGCACAGATGTTAACCATGGGTTATGATTCAGAAAGAGAAGCAGAGCATTTTAAAGTAACAAACCCAAGGTCTCAGGGTAAGCGGCAGCACTGGGATGTGAAACTAAGCCTGTTTATTCCTAAGGACTTTTTACTGAAAGCCATTTTCTCCACTGTGCTGGTGCTGATCCTTACTTCCTTGGCAGGATACTTGTGCCCATTTTATAGAGAAGAAAACTGAGTCACAAAAAAGACTTCAATGATGGCCAGCTAGCGATAGAGTCAGAATCATGATCCAGGCCTGTCTGCTCCCAGCTCATTCATCCCATTCCACTGTGTCAGAAATGTTGAAAGCATTTTGATTTAAAGTGTCAAAATGAAAGCAATGTTGTTGCTTGAAATGCTATGAAAGCAATGTTGTTGACATCTTAGACCAGCCCTTCACCATCTAACCCTCCCCCCAACAGCAAAATATAGAAAAACTGGGATAGATAATTCTTGTTTTAATAACAATTGTCAGATCTTATTGGAGCGTGTGAAATTATAATCTGGCTCACTGACTATGATGAAAAGTGGCTCTAATTGAGAGTGAAATGATATAGTTTTGAAGTTTTAACCCTTTCAGGTAAAAGTAATGAAAAAAGCAAGCAAGCTGAAACAATTCTACTCAACATTGTGTAGTGTGTCGATTTAAAATTCAGCATGAGTGTCAAAGAAAGATACAAATCTATGGAAAATTTTGTTTACTGTACAGCCAACAAAGAAGGATGAAGGGGACAAGTTGAAAATCTTTTTTCTTATTTTCCCATCAAACATGTTTTTCAGCTATTAGTTATATAGTCCAACGGAATATTTGTGCATTCGTTTCTGGTCTTTTGTTCATCACGCTGTGTAATCTGTATCTCACCAAAGTTAGACCCCATTTCGACACTGTGCTGCCACCTTTATGGCTTGCACAACTTGGAGGGTTGAGGTGTTATGGTAACACATTCAGCACTCAACAATGACAAAAGGTATCAGAGGTGAAGGGGAAGATGGGCATCAACTGAGGTGTCTAGATTCAGTGGTAACTTTCAGGATTTCAGAATCATATCCATTTTCATCACCACCAGAGCTTTACACAAAGGGTGTGACATGAACAAGCCCTTCCCCTGCTGAAATGGTGGTCGAGGGGCTAAGGAATGAGTCGCTCTAGCTGGTGGGTTCCTAGACCTTTCCTTCTTGCTCTCTTGCCACCCCAGCCTCCCAGGTGCTTCTATCACCAGCTCTACTTCCTGACCCAGTGGGGCAATGCAGGGCTGTGCTTATTCTGCAGCACGTGTAGGCACAGCCACCACAAAAAGCTGTTTAGAGCTTTAAATTACACAAAGCCCCATGTGCTGGGTTAGATCGCAGCTGCTCACAACTGTATCTCAGCCCAGCCTTCCCCAGTCCTTTTAGCCAGTTTGTTACTCTGCCCCAAAATGAATCGTGCTGGGTCCAATCTGGGCAGGGTTTAAAGAGGGTGAATACAGGGGATGCAGGAGGTGGGAGTTCCTGGGAGCTAGCTTGGGCTGACTATGGAGCTAGGCTTGGTCAGAGCCTGCCGGTGGCTGCAGTCAGACTGTGTGTCAAGTCCCCTCTAACTCTCCTGTGACTGACTTTCTGTTGGGAACTCTGCTCAACTGATGAGTGTTGGATGGGTATTTGTAACCCTGGACTCAGCTGCAGCAACAACAGTTGCTACCACGTATTGAGTAATTACTGTATCTGAATTTTTAAAGGGCTTTGGGGATAATAGAATACAAAACACTGAAGACCCTTTTGTATTGTAGAATTGGAGTCTGAGTTCTGTCCTCATACTTACCGTATCATCTGATCTTAAATTGTCAGAGAACTGAGGATCATGTAGACTTGCACTTACCAGTGAATTGGAAGAACCCCTTTTTCCAGGCTCCGGAACATTAAAAAAGTATATATGCAGGGAATGGGGGCGGGAATTTATTACGTGGAAAAGTCCCAGTCAATGCTGGCATCCCATAACCTTCCTTATCAGCAATTGCTTCCCTTTGCT